GTTCACCACAAGCTTCGGTAAGCTGAAGCAATGTGGTGACTCCTGCGGGATCATATTGAAAGTAGAATTACGGAGAGTCTACCCCACTCGCCGACCTATCCCACAACTGAACCCGATCTCAAGACAAAAGTCGAGAAGACCGGAGATGAGGGAGGGCGCAGGCGGCTGGCGTGAACAACACTCCCGCTTGGGAACGCCATTATATCCACATTAAGAACCATCGTGGCAGGCCACTCTGTTTGGTCACCTGTTCGGCAGGCGTATGAGGGGCGCATCTCCGACAATTCGGTGATGTTCTCGTGACCACTGCGATCTTCTCCTCGTGTAACCCTTGGGATATTGATAAAAACCGCGATGGGCCCATCCTGACATGCTTAAAACACTTTCAGCATAGTTAGATTATAGTGAAAAAAGACTCGCGGTAGCTTTCCCACTTTCTCATCACTCTCACGCCTGTATCCGATGTCAAGACAAAAGTCAAGAAGACCGGAGATGGAGTAGGGCGCAGGCGGTGTGCACGAACACGCGCCACAACACCATCTTGCTAGGTAGGCCGCCGCGTGTGCGGGAGCGCCGTAAAAGCCACATTAAGACGGAGCCATTACAGCCTGACTCTAAGCCCGCCATTCAGCCTCTCCACACAACACAACACACAGTTGGCTGACTGCGGTGTACAAGTTATTCCGCCAGTTGGCAACCTTCTAAGTCGCGGCTTTCAACGCACCGTGATAGCTTTGAAGGTGTCAGATTGATTATGGTGAGGAAAGGAATGCGCTGAGGATCGACCCCACTCTCTCCCCAACTACCAGCAACAAGCCACCACCTAGCTGATCGGTCGCTTGAGGTGGGATGGGCGTAGTGGCTGACGGTGCTGGCGATTCCGTCTGCGCGCGCCACATCACGACCTGACCCCCTTGACACACGTAACCGGCTCCCCTAACTCCTAGTGTCACTCATCAGCCATTTCACGCACACCACACTCACTGGGCTAATGGTGTGTCTGGTAAATATCGTCAGTTGGCAGTGCTTAAAATGGGAAAACAAGCGGGAGTTGAGTATTGTAGAGCAGGTTGTGCACG